CCGCGCCCCCCGCCGGGGCGGGCTGAGGGAGGGACCGCGGGGGAAGCGCTGCGGAGGGTAAGAGAGGCGATTTGTGAGGGGAAAGGAGCTTTTTGTGAGGGAAAAAGTGGCTGGAAAGTGAGGGGAAAGTTTTCTTTCTGGGAGGAAAGGGTCCCCTTTTGTGAGGAAAAAGTTCTTCCCCTGAGGAAAAAAGTCGCTTTGTGGTCAGGAAAAGTTTTCTTTTTCTGAGGAAAAGATCCGTTTTGTGAGGATAAGGTCGCTTTTTGTGAGGAGAAAAGTGGTTTTTTGTGAGGGAAAAAGTCGCTAAAAAGTGAAAAGAACCCTTTTTTTTGAGGGGAAGGAAAGAGTCCCCTTTTTTAAGGAGAAAATTCTTCCTGTGAGGAAAAAACTCGCTTTTTGGTCAGGAAAAGTTTTCTTTTTGTGAGGAAAAGGTCGCTTTTTGCGAGGAAAACGTGGCGTTTTTCCTGAGGGAAAAAGTGGGATTTTTTTTTCCTGAAGGAAGAAGTTGCTAAAAAGTGAGGGGAAATTCTTTTTTTTTGGGAGGAAATAGTCAACATTTGTGAGGAGAAAGTTCCTCTTGTGAGGAAAAAAGGCGCTTTTTGATCAGGAAAAAAATTGTTTTTCTAAGGAGAAATAGTCAACATTTGTGAGGAGAAAGTTCCTCTTGTGAGGAAAAAAGGCGCTTTTTGATCAGGAAAAAAATTGTTTTTCTAAGGAGAAGTTCCTTTTTGTGAGGAAGAAGTGTCTTTTTGTGAGAAAAAAATGTCTTTTTGTGAGGGAAAAAGTCGCTAAAAAGTGAGGGGAAAGTCTTTTTTTTGGGAGGGTAAAAACTCCCCCTCACAAAAGGCCTTTGTGAGGGAAAAGTTCCTTCTGTGAGGAAAAAGTGGGTTTTTTGTGAGGAAGAAGTCACAATTTGTGGGGAAAAGATTCCTTTTTCTGAGGGAAAACTCACTCGTGAGGGAAAAAGTCACTTTTTGTGAGGGAAAAGTTATTTTTTCTGAAGAAAAAGTTTCTTTTTGTGATAAAAAAGTCACTCTTGTGAGGAAGAAGTCACTTCTTGTGAAGAAAATGTCCTTTTTGTGAGGAAAAAAGTCACTATTTGTGGGGGGAAAGTTCATTCTCACGAAAAAAAGGTCCAATTTTGGAAGGAAAATGCCATTTTTGTGACAAAAACATCACTTCATAGGAAGAAAATAACAATTTTGTGAGGGAAATGTTCCTTGTGAGGTAAAGGTCCTTTTTTTTTCTGTGAAATAAAATGTGACTAAAAGGCTTTTGTGAGTAAAAAGTTACTTTTTGGAGGTGAAAACTTGACTTTGGGGGAAAGAAGCCACTTTTGGGAGGAGAAAAATTTGGGGTTGGGGGGAAGAAAAGTCATTTTTGAGGGGGACGAAAAGCAATTGATTGGGAGAGAAAAAACTCCATTGGTGGATAAATCTCATTTTCGTAGGAGAGAAGTCACTTTTTAAAGGGAAAAGTTACTTTTTGGGGAGGTAAAAGTCACTTTTTGGGGACAAAAGACACTTTTCTGGGGAAAAAAAGTTATTTTTTTGAGTAGGGCATACTCTTTTTGGTAAGAAAATCAATTCTAGGAGAGAAAAGACAATTTTGTGGGGAGAGAACTTGATTTTTGTGGGGGAAAGTTCCTTTTTTTAGGGGCAAGTTACTTTTCGGGAGGGAAAAATAAGTTTGGGGGGGGAACAAAAGACTTTTAGGGGAAGAAAAGTTGTTTTTTGGGGAGAAAATAGTGGCTTTTTTTGGGAAGAAGCCACTTTTTTGGAGAACAGCTACTTCTTAGAGTTATTTTTTGGGGAAGAAGTAGCCCTTTGGAGGGGAAGAAAAGTGAGTTTTGGAGGGGAAAAAAATCACTTTTTTTGCGGGTAGGTGTCATTCCTCAGAGAAGCAATCGCTTTTGGGGGAAAAAAATGACATTTTGGTAGGGGGATGAGGTGGATTTTGAAGGGAAAAAAAGCCAAAAAAAGGGATTTTTTTTTGTTGTTTTTAATGGGAAAGAAGCGTCCCGGCCGCACACAAAGAGCCGGGGGTTGGCCTCATCCCGGCTCCCTCCGCGGGAGGGACCACCCAGCCCGAGGAGAAGGGAAAATTAAAAACAAAACAAAACAAAACAAAACAAAAAACCCCAAAAAGCCGACCCTAAAAAACTCCACCCACGGGTTTGCGACAGCTCCGAGAGGCCGGGCCAGGCCCAGGCGCCTCAGCCGCTTTTCCCCGCTCGTTTTGGGGTCTCACAACAGCAGGACAGGGCCACGGGGTGGCCTCGGTGTGTCCCCAGAGCCACCGCGGTGTGCCCTGAGTGTCCCCAGAGCCACCGCGGTGTCCCCAGAGTCACCATGGTGTGCCCTGTGTGTCCCCAGAGTCACCATGGTGTGCCCTGAGTGTCCCCAGAGCCACCGCGGTGTGCCCTGCGTGTCCCCAGAGCCACCGCGGTGTGCCCTGAGTGTCCCCAGAGCCACCGCGGTGTGCCCTGAGTGTCCCCAGAGCCACCGCGGTGTCCCCAGAGTCACCATGGTGTGCCCTGAGTGTCCCCAGAGCCACTGCAGTGTCCCCAGAGTCACCATGGTGTGCCCTGTGTGTCCCCAGACACACCAGACACGCCCTGAGTGTCCCCAGAGCCACCGCGGTGTCCTCCGATTTTCCCCAGAGCCACCACGGTGTCGCCTGAGCCACCGCGGTGTCCCCTGAGCCAACGTGGTGTCCCCTGAGTGTCCCCAGAGCCACCACGGTGTGCCCTCTGTGTCCCCAGAGCCACTGCAGTGTCCCCAGAGTCACCACGGTGTCCCCAGAGTCACCATGGTGTGCCCTGTGTGTCCCCAGAGCCACTGTGGTGTCCCTTGCGTGTCCCCAGAGCCACCGTGGTGTCCCCTATGTGTCCCCAGAGCCATCACGGTGTCCCCTGAGTGTCCCCAGAGCCACCAGTGTCCCTTGCGTGTTCCCAGAGGCACCATGGTGTCCCCTGAGTGTCCCCAGAGCCACCACAGTGTCCCCTGCACGGCCTGGCAGAGCTCGGGGCCTCGTGTCTTTATTGTCCATGAAAGCCAAGAAGCAGCAGAGCACCCGCAGAGCCACTGGGCTGTCCCCACACTTGGGGACACTGAGATGGACACCTGGTCCTGGGGATTGTCCCCAAACACCTGGCTGTGGGGAATGTCCCCAAACACCTGGCCATGGGGATTGTCCCCAAACACCCAGCCATGGGGAATGTCCCCAAACACCTGGCTGTGGGGAGATGTCCCCAAACACCTGGCTGTGGGAAATGTCCCCAAACACCCAGCCGTGGGGATTGTCCCCAAACACCTGGCTGTGGGGATTGTCCCCAAACACCCAGCCATGGGGATTGTCCCCAGACACCCAGCCGTGGGGATTGTCCCCAGACACCTGGCTGTGGGGATTGTCCCCAGACACCCAGCCGTGGGGGAATTGTCCCCAAACACCCGGCCATGGGGGAATTGTCCCCAAACACCCAGCCGTGGGGATTGTCCCCAAACACCTGGCTGTGGGGGATTGTCCCCAGTCCCACAGCCCAGCCTGGGCCAAGGCAGCTCAGTGCACAGACAGACAGACAGACAGACAAACGTCCTTCTCCAGCACAGGCGGGGAAGGTAAGCACACCCCAGTGCGAAGCTTTGTGCAGCAGCAGGACGCACGGACGGACGGACAGACAGCGATTCCCCGGCGCTGCCTCAGCTCAGCACCTCCAGGCCGAGCCCGGCTGCCAAAGGCACGGAGCCTCCCTCTCCGCAGCCAGCGCGGATCCGCCTTCCCTCTTCTCCAGCCGAGCCCCCCGGGCTCTCCCCGCGGATCCGGGGTCGGGAATGCCCCGG